AGATGCCAATGTGTCAACCATGACTGTTAAATTTCAATATTCCGGCTTCTGAAGCATAATGAAAAAATATGGCGGGAAAAGATGTTTTGGAAAAGGGGGCCCAGCGCAGCAACGACCTGATAGGGTGGTCCACCGACACAGCATGGATTGAAGAGTTCATCGCAAAAAAAACCCATCGATCAAGTGAAAATTCCATCATTTCCATTGCATATAAATGTTCCTGTCCTCATCTAAAACGAGTCACAGAAAGGCGGACACATCGCGGTTTTCTCATCTCGGCAAACTCTCGGCTCTCGCCACTCGGAGCAACGAACAACTGCTTTGCAGCTGAGGCTGCTGGTTAAAGACACAGCAGCGATTACGCTCAGGCCACTGCCTACGTGCTTGTAACGCATGTGCAAAGCTGAAGGGCGCTGGCTGCGGCGCAGCGATTACTCACACGGGACCACATAACCCTCTGGTAGACTTGTAAACTTGCAGACACGCTGAGCCCCTCGCACCATATAGAAAAATACTTCCCCTAGGCCCTGGCTTCGCATCTGGCACGGTGACCGCAACAAGCATCGATGATTCCATGATGCTTAGCTGTCATTTTTTCATGTATCTCGCAATCCTGTTGCATTCTTCAACAGGTTCAGCATCGGCGTCTTTCTTTCGCTTGCCTTTTGCTTTCTCAGCTTTCTCAGCCTGGTTGATGCGGAGCTTCAAAACCCAGAAGCCTGCACCTTACAAACTCAACTTCAACTGAAAACAACCACAGCCCCAAACGCTTGAACCTTCGGCACTGCCCTCGCCCATTCATAGTCCATGATAATGATAGAGGTAATACTTTGGTCTTTGTGTAGTAACTGTGTTCTGATGATTATGGTTTCCGACCGTGGATGAATCACTGAGGGTAGTACCCACCCTAAAAACCACAACGGCCCTGAACCAGCCTTTGGCTTTGTCTCCTTTTTGCGTTTCTTGATCTCGTCCTGCTTGGACTCGGCTGCTGCGCTGGAGGCCTCGTCAAGGTTCATGGCTCGGTGTTCCTTGCTAGCGAAACCCTGGAGAAACCGATGCAGCATTTCCGGAAAACTGGCAGTGGCATGCATCCCAGAACGGTCCAGCACCCCTTTATGTAGGATGTGTTGGATCAGCAGCAGCAAACGACGTTGCTTCAAAATGCCTTGTCGTCGATGTCGGCCGTCGGAATCACATCTGACACAGACGCGGACGGTTCGGCGTCGGCGGCCTCGGCGGTGTCCATGACCTGCACATGATTTCGGTGGCTACAGTGTAAAACTAACATCCACGAAGTCACTTTTGCCTGGCTTGTCTTAATTGAACCGAGACGAGAGTATGTGTGGGGCATAGGGCGTAGGTGGTTACATTACATTCTAGATTTAAGGCTTACTCTCAACGTAGGCTCCGACAGTCATGAACCATGAAGCCACGTATCCCTAAACACACCATTGCGCCAAATAAACACAGCGATGTTAGTTCAATTCTCGCGCCTGCCCCTCTGGCTCTTCGGTGAGCAACGGCACTGTCGGCGGAAGTGTCTCCTGGTGCAAGGGGACTTGCCATTCGGACGTCTACCAGGGTGCTGTTGCCTCGGCTCGCACGGTTGGCTCCAGGCAAACAGCTTGGGCCTGCGGCACTGAAGTCACTAGAGTCGAAACTCAGCAGACTCAGCACTTGAACCGATCCGTCCTGCAACTCCGCACTCAGCAGCTCTTTCGGTTCGACCTGCGTGAACGTTGGCCGGCGACTGCAGTAAGGAACAACAGCCGCTCAGAAACATCGTCCTGCTCTTCCGGCACCGGCGCTCCCGTCTCTTTCACACCGGCCTGCAGTGTGGCGGGGCCCAGTGCTAGAACGTGTAACTCACACATACGACTAGTTGATTAAGTTCACTTGTGGCACCTCCGCCGTCGGGTCCAACGAATCCATATGCACCTTTTCTGCCGCTTCCACTTCGACCTGCACGACATGACTGGCGGCGGCGGTCAAGATCACAATGATGCGACTTCACAAGCTGGAGCGACACCTCGGCAGGTATGTCCTCTGGGGGCACAGCTTCGGCCTGGCGGCATGCGAGTAGGACCAGCTACACAACGTCACTGAGCCAAGCACCTGCCCCGATTCGGGTTTCCTCGACGCAACCGGCCCCGGCCGTGAGAGTTGAACCTGCACTCCATGACGCCATGTTGCAGTTTGATGTGATCACTATAATGGTACTTGGCTATCATCGGGTAAATGTAATTGAAAATCAAAAGTCAGGGTCACAAACAACTCCCCACGCACCCAACCACATCACGAAGCGATAGATGGCAAAGCTAGGAACAGAACAGCGCGAGAACATTGAGGAGTCGACCCCCGAACATGCCATTGCCCCCTATTCATTATTCATCCGAGTAGGCCCCCCCCCCCCCCCCCACATAGACACCCGCCTCCCCAAAGTTTTAAGGTTGAGGCTTAAGGGACTGCAGCCTCGTCGAAGTCCTTGGGAAACATGAGCTTCTTCTCCTGAAGGAATTGGTACCATCCAAGAGCGTCTTCTAGCATGTCCCCGTCCGGCGCTCCAAATTCGTAATCATCCTCTGCGCCGAAAACATCTTTGACATAGGTTACATAGCTCTTGCACTCGGGATGGGCCTTTGCCGCCTTGATGTGCACCGAGAACAACTCAAATTCGTCCATCGCATAGATCAACTCACGTCGCTGCTCCTCCTTCATGTGCACAAAGCTGTTCAGATAGTCTGCCTGCGATTGCTGCAATGAGGTTTTCCCAAGCTTGCAAGCGAAGCCCGGAGGAAACCTGATGTCCTTCTTCTGCAGAAACTCGTACCATCCGAAGACGTCTTCGTGCATATCTCTCCCTTCGCCGCCGATTGTCCGATTGTTGCCCCCGTCTTCGTCCCAGGCCTTCCCGAGGAGCTCGACCACGACGTGCTTCTCGTAGTTCCTGCACTCGGGGTGGGCCTTCGCCATGTTGATGTGCAGTGTCAACTCGGCTTCGTCCATGAGCTGGATCAGCGTACGTCGCTCGTCCGTGCCCATGTCCACGAAGCTGTTGAGGACGTCCTCCATGGGCTCTTCATTCTGGTGCGTCTTGGCAGCCTTGTCGACACCCACCATGGTGCCGTCCGGCTGGACAACGGCTTCGGCTTCGTTTAGCAAACTTTTCGGCTGTGTGACGCCGATGGCCGCCGCCAGCGTCAGTTTGCAAGGAAACTTCAACTTGCGGTACTCTTCAGCCATGATCTTTGCGTGGAAGTCCCTCAAAAACCAATGAAACAAGGGAAACAGTACAACGAAAGCTGCAGTGTGTGAACACTGGCCTCTACCAAGACAACATGCAACAATCGTAGCAAAAACAGAACAAGACACCCGGAGTGCACTGTCAGATATAGTTTGCAGAGGTCGTAGCAGCGCTGGTGGAAGAAGGACGGTGCGGCCCGTATCCCCACGGCACTGCCACGAAGCGTCTTTTCGACTAACACTTGGCAAGGGGGGATATACAGGATGTCGCCTGGAATTAATGTGACACCGCGAAGCGATATCAAGTACTCCAGCGGATCTTCGGAGCTCACGTACTGGCTCGCAACAAACTTCATGACTTCCTGCACACACTTGCATGGATTTCTAAGCTTAGGTAGGTGTAGGGCCTATAAAACAATAGGAATCATAAGATGATGCAACAGCGCTGCTTGTCCTTGAGAGGTGGCACGTTCTCAGGGTCAACCGACAGCTTGTTTTTGTCGCAGTACCACAAGACAGCCTCTTCTAGGTCGATGAGGCAAACCGCTTTCTCAGAGTTCACATGGCAATAGACGGCTGGCAAGCCAACTGGATTAAATCCTGCGAATCGCGAGCCCTGGGAACTTGCGCACATGGTCACGCCCTGGTAGCGCAGCTGGCTCTTGCGCTTGTCATCGTCGCTTTCACCAAGCGCAGAAAACCTGCACGCTGAGCATTTTGGGTTGAACATGGTCAAACAATCACGCACTGGCCTGTCAATCAAATGCTCCCTGCCCACAAACTGGAGATTTTGATTGTTCAGCTCATCGCAGTTCTTCTGAACGAGGAGGTCCAACGCCAACGCATCAGCTGGCCCGGGACACAAGCGCACCAGCCGGTCGGTAGCTGGGCCTCCCTCACTCTGCAGCTTAACATCAAAGTCCGAAGCGAAAGAAGACAGCTCCTGCCCGAGCGGTGTAGGTTCTGGGCCGAGGGTGTCTAGGGTTTAGTAGGGTTCAGTGCAAGGTTGAGCGTTTATGGGTTGGTCCTGCGCGAGCTGACGAGACATGTGTGTTGCGTCCTGGATTCCTGGCGTTGCCTCGGGCTCACCACAGACAGCCGCAAACACCTAATCGCACAGATAGTCATGACAACCAACAGTAAAACAGACCAATAACAAGAAAAACAATCAGCCAACACCGATCTGCCAAAACAAACCAACCAACCAACCGACCCCCCCCCGACCCCGACCCAATCCACCAACCAACAAACAACCGACAAGCCAACCGATTCCTCAAGCAACCAAAGATTCTGGGCGCCAATTTTCTTGGTGCCACAACACTGGATGTTTCCAAACAATATTTGCATGAGGAATGAATGCGTTCGTGCATGCGATTCATGACCGCGACAGCTGCTTACAGCACGGGGGCCTCGAGGTTATTACTGGGAGCACTGCTTACAGGCTTACAGCACAGACGCCTAAGGGTAATAAGATATCGGAAAATATATTACCGGGAAAATCACTGCATTACCCAACATAACTGGCTACCAACAAAGCTCAACCAACTTCACTCACTCACGCACTTAAACTCTTGCACTCTCACTTCCATGCACCCCGTAACCTCGGAGGGTTTAGGGTTTAGGGTTTAGGGTTTAGGGTTTAGGGTTTAGGGTTTAGGGTTTAGGGTTTAGGTAACCAACCTGCGCCCCAACCCCTGTAACCCGAGACCACCCATCTGCGTAACCAACCTGCGCCCCAAACCCGCCACCATAACCCCGGGCCACCCATCTGCATCCCCAACCTGTGCCCCAAAACCCGCCCCCAACTTGCAACGGACAGTGGCTATGGCAATTGCCGCCATTTATCCTGGTCTGCAAACACGAGGACACTTCCAACTCCGAACCACGAACAGAATCTCACTCTCGTACTCTCTCACAATCAGACAGAGGGAGAGAGAGAGAGAGAGAAGAAAAGAACTGAGAGTGTGTAGATACTGCACATACAAACGTACCCACGTAAGGAGCGCACATCGATAACCTTCTTGAGAGCGGCGCGTCTCAAGCGTGCAACTGCAGGCACCATTCCAGCAGTCCTGGCGATGTGCCCTGCCAGATCAGCTGTGGAGTCGCAAACAAACATACAATTTTCCTTCGGCCAAGTGGAGTTAGCGGCCCAAGACTGCAGAAGGGCGGGGTCAGTCTCGTCGATTTCCGTGTGTACCTGTCTTGACCGCGCACGGCCTGCCGTAGGACCACGCCCGCGCTTCTTGTTGCCTGCAGCGTCAGCCTCGCCCTCGTCACCCTCGCCCCCGGGTGGATCTTCAGCTGCTGCAGCCTGTGCAGCTGCTTCAGCTGCCTGTTTTTCCTCCTTGGATTTCTTGTCCGCTGCTTTCTTTTGTCTGGCCTCTTCAGCTTTGCGCTTTGACTCATCTTTTTTCTTTCTGCGTTTTGCATCTCGTTCCAACTCCTTTTGTTCGGCGTCCCTCGCCTTGCGTAGGGCTGAAATGTGGTTTCGCCACGATGTTGCCTCAGCAATGACAGCTGCCGCCACTGTCTTCACCAAGTCAATGGCATCGCGGTGATCACCGGCCATCTGGTGCACAGCTTCTGCGGTCCGCTGAAGCTCAATGGCGGTCATCCTCACGTAGGACATCTGCCCCACGGTTTGAGCAGCCCCCCACGGCCACCCTTGCTCCATGAAGTACGAGTCGTGTTGGAGCTCAGCCAAGATCTTCAGCCCGGACTCTTCAGACGGTTTGGCACGGGTTTCGTTGCACAGCAAACGCAAACACTTCATCCTGTGTTCCACGGTTGCAAAGCACTGATCCGCCTTTCTTGCATCATCTGCCGCGCCATGCTCTTCAATGCACTCGCGCAGCATTGCTTCGCCGGTCCTTTGGGCTTCCAGCAGGAGACCTTGCATGTGATTCCAGGCCTTTGTTGTGTCCTTCCGCATTTTGCTGGCCACTAAGGCTGGTTTCTCGGTAGCGCCACCTCGGGCCTTTGGTTTGGCCTTGGCCTTCACGGCGCCCTTTGTGTCAATGGACACAGTGCCTTTGACTGACGAGGTGCTCGGCAACGAAGGAGGCGCGGGCCCGGCTATCGCGGGGTGGCCACTGCCGCCACCGCCACCGCTCGGCAAAATGCCGATGTCCAGTTCCGATTCGTTGTCTAGATCCAGCCGAAGATCCCTAGCCGTCTGCACGAGACGGTTGTGTGCCAAATCTGTCGGCTGCCGCGACTCCACCACATCTTCTTTTGCCACAGACTGCTCCTATCAACATTTGGAGAACAGTCAAAAACAGAAACTCAACAAGAGACCAGATTGTTTGGAAGCATGAAACGTTAACCACACTGCCTCGAAATTGATATAGTCTCTCGCCTCACCCGCTGCACCGATCTTGACAAGCCACACGCGCCATATCTGAGCCAGCCGGCCGACGGACAGGACATGACACACACGAAAACATGTCCCAGCGCCAGCTCTGTGCGAAAAGTTGCCGAGTCACATACCCGGTAAAGTTGCCAGATTTGTCATTCGACGCCACCTGGTCCTTCATCACAGAGTTATCACCCATCATTGTCTTCCACTTCTGCTCGATTGCCGTGGGGGACAGACCTTTATGAATTGTGACTTCACACTGCATGCGACATTTCACGAAAACACAAACACCACACCTGGCAAGAACAACAAAAGACCACCAAGCCACGTAGATAGGCGGGGCAACCGGTCGTGAACCAGTCTTCAAACTCTGCTCGGGACATTGGAACTTCACGCGCTCTGCCCTCCTTCCTGCAACCCGCCGCTCACTCACTGCAAAGCTTGTAACACCAGCATACTGCAACAAGCAAAACCCCTGCCTCAGACCAGATGTCCGCGTCCTCCTGACACGGCTCCAATCGTATTGAACTCGAGCTCGTCCTTTCCCTGGTTTGGGGCACCTTGGAACGCAGAGCCCGGCAAGGGTCAAAGGGGCGACGAATCAACCTCCTGAACATGCAGCATGCAGCGCAGGCACTCCTTGCAGTAGTCAGCAAGCAGGGCTACAAACTCTGTCGTATTGGTCGCTTCAAGCTCTTCCAGATACTGGCGCATGGTCTTTCGTGTGCTCGCATCAGTGTCGCTGGGGGGCTCCGCGGAGTCAGTGTAAGGAACATTCTGCGCTTGCTGAAGGAAGGTGTATCTGGACGGCTGGTGCTCCGTGCAAAGTTGAACCTTCCTCGTCACAAATGACCGCAATGCAAGGAACGCACACACGCACACGACCTCACAAGTCCTTGCGTGCATGCTCTGTCTCATTTGTTCAAAGCCGCATGCTGCCGCGGAAGACAATCTTCTTCTTGCAAACGGCGCAGCAAGTTTGCCCATAAGGTACCAATGCCGCCGAATCATCGGGAGCATTTGCCGCTTCTGCGGCCATTGGAACTTGGTCCTATTAAGTGTCCAATGGTCTAAGACACCCAACGCCCAACGAGAAGCAAAATGCTGCACAGCCATAATCGAATGCATGCTCCCACGACAAAAGCACGAAATCCACACGCACACACACACACACACACACACACACATTAACTCATCATCTCATCAGCGCCAGCATTGATGCGACCCTTTTGGACAGACAGTGCTCGAGCCGTATGTGAGCTGTGTTGCTGCCGCGCCTGTACAGAAATCAGCCCACCACATCAATGCTTTTGCGGCGGCAGCAAACCAACACCACGCTCCACAGGCTTCCGATAACTGCGCAATGCATCGCCTGGATATCACAGTTCCCGAAAAGCTACTCGCTACTCTTCGGCCACGCTGCAACCAAGCATCATTGCCGGCTAAATGTTTCAATGCTGACTCCGAAAGGTTCCTGATGTCGTGGATCGGGAAAGGCTGATTGCCGCAATGATCAGGGTACATGCAGTGACCCATCGCGTGCAAGGTTTCCTGCGACAAACACGGAGCCCTCAAGCAATAGCAGTCGCAATCATTTCAGTAAGAGTCCTTGGCGAAGAGCCACCTTTCTTCTCTGTCACAAGGTACTGCGTCGTTCAGCAACAAGTACATCAAGCCAGACCGCAACAGCGTGGGAAGGAAGGGGCTCACGATCGGTCGTGATCTGGCATTCTGCAGCAAATTCGCAACCATACTCGGCGCACCTTAGCTTAGCACAGCACAGTCTATGCAAAGGGTGCCCATTCGTGAGCGTGTGTGCCCGTAACAACTGAGCATGTTCGAGCGTTCCAGGTCGAGTCACCTTTTGAAAAGTTGCTCGTCACCCGCGGATGGGCCTTGTAGGTCGCGAGGTTGAGGCATTTGGATCCTACGCAACCACGCAGCTCAACAAATAGTCTTTCAACTGCTGCGTCCTGTCCTGCAAGAAGATTGCCG